GTTACCCAGCGGTCCAAAAACCAGCACAGCACTTAGATAGTGTAGCCCTGGAAAAGAGAGTCATGGGTTGGCTTTCCAGTCCCAGATATCCCATCAAACAGCATCCCTGCTGCTGCTAGACTTTTGAACTCGTGGTACCACCCACCATTGCCTACTCAACAGGACACTGTCCCCATCCTCCAAAGGATGGTGTGGCACGGGGTGCTGGGACTGCCAGATCTCTGCCATGCACGAGGGCTGCTTTTACTTACAACGTAAGAGCAATTTCTGCCAGTTCTCACCTCTTGCACACATGTACCAGGTGTGAAAACCAGTTCAGACATTAAAACCCACTGCTCAGCTCTAGCAGCGTGGAAAAATAAAATCACTGGCTGATCAGCCAAACCAGCAGGTGGGAGTGGTATGGACAGAGGCAGGAGAGACAAGGTACTAAACCTGCCCAGTGCTCCCAAGCGCCTCGTTATACTGATTTATGTTTAGTTAATTGAGAAAATGACTCTAACTACACAATCCAGGCCCTAATTCAGAAAGGCCCAAGCTTTTTAGTGTCTCTACCTGTGTCTTAAAAGGTATGATTTAAACCCTGTAACTAACAGGCTGCCACATGCAAGGATTTGAAGGATCTGATGTCCTATCATGCCGAGGGGTTGAGGCTTGGCTAACTTCTCTCGTTACTTGGTCTTTCCTCACTGACATACAGGTTTGCTGCTGGGACATAAATCAGAGGAAATGATGAAGGAAACCAGTCTCGTGCCCCATCAAAGGAGCCAACACTCGCTTTAATAGGACCATGCAGACAAGCCTAAATAGGGCACTTAACAAGCATGTGGTTTCTATTATACCAGCCTGCATCCCTACACCCAGTTTGCATTGCCACTGGCAAAACCCTCTGTCCCTTGCACACCACACCTGCTTATATCCACAGAATTAGAAAAGAAACCATGATAGAATACCAAAGTGTTGAACATACTGTTTCTGCGTTGGATCAGGTCTGCAGAAAAATTTTATCTAGCTCTCAGCAACTGCATGAATCATTATACACAGCTACAGCATGCACAAGAGCGGAGCATAGAGCCCCACGACACTATGTCTACACAGAATCACACAAAAGTACCAGACTCAGTCCAGGACCAACAATTGCTCAAAGATCCCACATAACACGCATCTGGTAAAGTACCAAGCCTCAGGTTGGGACAATTCATATCACAGGGATTTTGATCCAAGTTTGAACCTTGAGAAAAGGGTCAATAGATCAATAGATCTTGCTGTCCTAAGCAGAAGATGCAGAAGTGAATCCCAGCGTGGGAGGCAATTCAGTAGTGCTCTGCCCCCTTCTTTGGCTGCAGAACTTCCCCAGAATAGGGTAACTGTCCCACACGCAATCATTTCTAGCATGTTCTTAATAAAGCCGTTCAGGAAACACAGTACCCCCAACCACTACGCCAGTCACTACTTATTTGTTTTTCCTTTTTGTGTTTACACAGGACACAGGCTGAAAGGGAAGACTCCACTGCATCGCAGAAGGTACTAGGAAGAGGAACGGCTGATGGAGAACTTGAGTCTCTCCCCAGAGAGCTACCCTAAGCTGAAACCTCTTGAGAGCCCAACTTCAGCTGGCTGGATATACAACCAGATTGGGGATTGTCCAAGTGTTTTACACCACGCACTAGACATCCATGGGAACCCCAGGCTGAGCCATGACCATCTGTGCTCATTTAAACATTTCTTGACAGAGGAGGGAGTGTTAATCCCAACATCCTGGCCAAACTGCAACATGGGCAATTATATTGTGCTTTGTAACTTGCTCACAGTGGTATATATCGGTGTTTTCCACTTCCTCCCATAATGGTAATGTGGTGGCCCACCACAGAAATGGCTACATTGCCACAGGAGAACACAAGTCCCCTGTGATGAGCCCTGCAGTGTTACTGTCAGATATCACACATTCCTCTATTTTCCCTGCTATGGGTGTTCAACCACAGCATGCTTCACATTCAGACTTCTACCTCTACCTGCAAGAGGCCTTCACTTAAAAATCTCCCCACCCAACCCACTCCTGACTTATGCTGAACTTCTAGATTTCAATTTTTCTGAAGATACAACATGCTAGCTAAGTGGACAGTGCACCTGCCTTCAACGCACTCCGGTGACAGCAGAGCCAAACAGTTGTACAAGATGATCAACTATGACAGAGGTAGAAATGGCTTTTGCTTGAAGAGTCTCAATTCCAACTGTTCTCTTTCCTTAAAGGAAAAACAAGGAAAAGAAAAAACCAATCCTTTTGTTGCACCAAAATCATCTCCTGGCATTTCTGACCAGCACACATGTTGTTACAATTATGATCGGACTGCTTGGCTCCGGCATAGGAGGAATGTTAAACCAGCCCACTGGCACCCATCAAAACATTTGCGAACTTCCAAAGTGGAACTGACACTTTGGTAGTGGTTTATATCACACGTCAGAGAAAGGCTTCATAACTCAGATCAAACAATTTAACTCTTGAGCTCCCTGTCTAGAGAGAGCGACCAAATGCTCGGCTGCCTATTGTTATTTCACATGGCTGTTTTCATGTGGCTTCCAGCCAGTCCACTTCATTTTGCAAGCTCAGAAGTTAAAGACAGATAGAGCTGGCCAGAACTTTGATGAGGGACTTGTAAGAGAACTGAAACTGCTGATTCTAACAACAGCACCTTCCTTGTCAGGCAGAAACAGCGCCAGCACTACCAGGATGGCACACGAGAATTTTTCAGCTTTTAAGAAATTTTGTTGGATATAAACTTACTCCCTTCTAGGAAACTGATATTCTTAAGTAGTTGTCAAAAAGATCTTTAGGCTTACAATTTTTTGCCTTTGTTGGTTTGAGGGGTTCAAACAGTAATCTTATCCGGAACAACAAGGTGCAATCGGTAGGGCTACTTCAACCCCATTTTAGCCTACTAGAGAACCACAAATTATGTGCAAAATGGTGTGCATGTGGTCCTGTAAATACCGTTACCATTCAGCTCTCCTGTCAGATGCTCTTCTGTATGTCCCCTGATGAGCTGAATACAACTGTAATGAGGAACAGACCTATCCACTACGACGGAGGGTCTCTTGAGGAGCAACTGGGGACAGCTGCAGAGGATGGAAACAAGAATGGTACAATGAAATTATTATTGCACTTACTGGTATCCAGTTTTGAAAACCATAATCAGGTTGCTACAAGCTGTTCTGCAACTGCAGGCAGAGCAAAGGAAGTCGGTCACAATTTTCTCACAATGCAATAAAATCTTCGGCTTTTAGGCCACGTCTTCCAGCAAATTAACAGGGAATGCAGTGTATCGGTAACAACAGAGCAATGCTTCATATGTATCTCAAATATTACTTTGGAGTTTTCTAACTTTACTCAGCCCTGATTATGAGTGGCTTCTCTAGGAAACAGATTCATCCCTCTTTCTCCTGTGTATGGGAGGCACCAGTAAAGATTTTCCACTGCTGCCTTGGGCCACAGTTAGTTGAAGGGAGTTCTGCCAAGCTGTATCCTGCCATGTCTTTGCTTCAAAAGTTTTTGTATTTTTGAACAGCCTTTTTCGAGGTTTTACTTTCACACAGCGGAAGGTTGCCAAAGGACATGTCTGATATTGTCATTTATCACCTCCTGTGGAAAAAGAGTCTTGGATACGTGTATTAGTATCACATATCAGAAGTGAAAGTAAACACACTGTGTAGAAGATGCACTGATTTATTAATAGAATAAAAATGAAATGTAGTGACATGTTTTTCCACTATGAAAGCCATACAGATGATCAGTGTCCCATTTATATACTTGATGGTGTCATTCAGTAACTCAGTCATAAACTCTGAATGGAACGTTCAGGTCAGGTAGTACAGAAACCGTTTCCAGAATGAAAGCAGCCTTCCTCTGTTACAAAGTGGATAGTTGTGAACACTGTGCCCACAGTTTGCAGCTGCATCGGTCTATGGGATGTTTTCCTACATCCTCTATTTTAATTCCCAAGACTTCCTCCACTTGGAGAAAGCGTTTTAAAGCCTTTCCAGGGCAACAGAGCAAAACAGCTGAACTTCTTGTGGGGTACAAACCCACTCTTCAGGCAAGAAAATGCATTGAATATTACAAGAAAACGGGCTTACTTCCAATATACAGTGGGGATTATTCATTACAAGATCCCTGGCTAATTATTGGAACTTTGAGGCAACTACGGCAGAGAAAAATGTTTGCAATGGAACAGCCTTAATTGTAACACAGTCTCTTTTGTGTGTTTCTACTTCTACATCATATATTCTCCAATGTCTTAAGGTGTAACAGACCATTTTTGTTAAATCATAGCTCCTGTGATTTCATAGATAATGTTATCAATATATAGCTTTGTGTGATCTAGCATGATCTGAAAGAAATAGGCAAAGTGATAAATAGGAAATACTACAACTGACTTTATAATTTGCCTCAATATGAGAATTCCCTTTAAATCAGGTGCAGGAAAGAGCATCAGCTACAAAGACAATTAAAGTAAGCACTTGGGTTTCACAGGATTAAAGACCATTGAAAACTAATCCCTTATGGATACAAAGGAAGACAAACATCCTATCAGTGTTGTCAGGAGACAGAATATGTTCAGAAGCAGAATAAGTTGTGATGTTTCCTCCTGTAGATACGGATCTCTTACACGCTGCTTGGAACAGGTATCTCTCATATCAATATGCTGAAAGCCCTCGGAAAAACCCTACTGTTCACTTCCAAGTATCCTGTTTCAGGAAGGCACAAAGCCCCATGAAGAGCTGGGCATGAGAACATGAACTTAAACCAGAATGATGAAGACAGATGGTGAACCCCAAATAAGAGTCTTGTGGAAAAGAAAAGAGCCTCTAAGATTTGAAAACAATATTAAAGGAAATGAGAAATGAAGTGCACATTACTGGCACGGCAGAAACCCAGATATACAGCCCACAAGCCCGCAGAGAGCATGTCAGCCATAACTGGTTGGCGCATGTGAATATAGTAGTCATGTACCAGAACAAGCTGGGGAGTTTCCTGGAGTCACTTTTACTGCTTGAGTTTGGCTGTCCATGCTGGAGAGGGATTTGGTCCCGGAGTTTTCAGATTGAACCAACTGGTCAGAAACAGTTGGAGAAGCACCAGCACGGTTAGCATGCTCACTCTCCTGCGCCGTAACACTGGGAGTGGGGTTTTCCTTAGCTGTCCCAGCATGATTGTGTGACTGGTTGGCTTGCCTCCCTGCTTCTGCCTCCTGCTGCTGCAGCATCCGCTCCACCTCTATCTCAAGTTCCAGATTTTCCTCATCTGCCTCCACTTCCAGCTGCTGCATTAACTCCTCCAGCTTCTTGGCCTTGCGGAGTTCGTTCTGCTGGATGATCGTGCACAGGTGCTCTGTGAGGTGCTCCTTAATCTCCGTCTTGTGCTGGAGGTCCAGCTTGGCTGCCACGTACTCCGACTCAGCCTTATCATACCGCTTCCTGCAAAATCATCATCATTTCTCATGGGTTAGTTCTCAAAGCACTTTATAATCTGACACATGGACAGATATTTTAAGCATCCCTGCAATGCAACGTGCTCTGCAATGCATTATGCCAGCTATCTCATGACATGCTGCTACATTAGTCAAAGGGAAGAAAGTAAGTGTGAATCGATCAAATCTTCTCTTGACACATGAGCCTCCACTGCTGCTGTATTCCAAGAGTTAATTTGCTCATCTGAAATCTAGATTGGATCATGAACAAGCATTTTTACTGCCTGTTTTACGAGATGCATCACTAGGAGCAGAAAGAAACCATCAGAAATTGTAATGTTTTCACACTTGTGATGAACACCTATCTAGTGAACTGAAAACAAAAAAACAAAGCAGTTTTGTGTTTTTTCCAATCCAACCATCCACCCAACAGACACAGATACTACGATGGTGCTACACACATTTACCTTTGGTACTCGACTAGAACTGTACTCTTCCAGCCACCCATATATATGTTCAGAAAATCATGAGCAGCACAGACTGACACAGCATATGACATCAATAGCGATCACAACTTGTGCGTAGCAACAGATGTAGAATTTTATTGTAAGCATCCCCCTGACACACACCTCCTGCCAATTCGTACTTCCTGTCATGACAAATACAGCAAAAAGGAAATATTCCAAGTATTTATTGGGGTTAACACATCTGGGATATCTATCACTTCAATGGTTGGTGTCCACATTAGTGATGCATCTTCCACTACATTCAGTGAATATGTATCTTAATTTTGATTTAATTAATAGAAAGATAGATGCAATCTTGCTCATCAGGAAAGGGAACATGCAAAAGCTTTTGCAGAATGACTATGCGATGTACCTTACAGAGCATTCATAAAAGTAGTATTAGTAAGGTGGTTGAATAAAGAATCCAGCTGTTTTATAAAACCAGATTCAAATATCTGGTTAAACAAAGCAACAGAAAGATAGGAGAGATCCTTTGCTTAAGGAAACAAGACATAGAAAAGTGTTCCCAAATATGTCCCTTTATAATCACAAAACTTTGACCCAGCTGTAAAGGCTATGCCTGCAGTGGGCAGAAGATGCCCACTTACATTTCCATCACAAGCAAGCCAAGATTTCCGTGGGCCAGGTATCTGAAGTGGGAAAACTAATGCTATGCTGGAAACTTCTGCACAGTTAAACTTTTGGACTGAATTCACACACATTCTTCACATCATATTTAGGAAAATTTCATTCCACAGCAATTTTCAAATGCTCCTAACTATGTACGTGCCCAAGACTACTTAATACTGCATTTTTTGACCCACTGAAATTATTTGTGTTTCAGCCCTAAAATATAAGGCAAGAACTAAAAAACTGCTTAAAAAGACACCACTTAAAAGTAAATCACCTTTGGCTCGTAATGCTTAAAAGCTACAACAATTAAAATATCTAATTCACATTTCCAAATCCCTCCCTCACAAAAAGAAAGATTTACTAAGTTCATGAAAGCCATTATGTATTTTGTAACATTTATGCCCTTTGTCCTACCAGCATCCCCTTTTGTTATTTTTGTTAAAAACTGCTTACCAAACATCAGAGACACTTATATTATCTTCTCTTTAGCCATTAAGTATTTCAAATAGGCACATTATTACAAAACTTTGGTAAGGAAATTTCCAGGAGGATTTAATGGTTTTGGAAACCAGACTTAAACCTGAAATACATGGAAATATTTTTCTTCTTGAGGAGATGAAATTCAGTATTCATATGCACTCAGATACTGAAACTGCAGCTAATCTTAGATATTTCAAATGATAATGACACAAAAAAAATCCTTATTTTTTAGCTACCACCGCTATTTTTTTAAAGACTAATTACCATGTTTATTGGCCTGTGGTCAACGTATAGCACAAGTCATAAGGAGAAATACATGTTTAACACATTGAATCGTGAACCAAAAACCGCAACCGAACATTTCCATTTTATTAAATGGCTACATAAACATGCTGATGTTTATCTACTGATGTTGTGGTTTGCCCACAACTAATAGGGTGTTCCGATTAATTTCTTGCATTTAAGGAACTCATCAGAACCAGAGTGATTAAAGGCACATTGTGAAGGGTGAAAGCTTGCTTTTTCCTTCAATTTTTGGTCCCAGTTCCAAAAGCACTTCAGCAGTATTCTATGTTTTAAGCTTAATTGGTCCCATTGATTCCAACAGGACCAGAGCTGTCATCAACAAGCAAGTTTCCCTGAAAAGGACTTTCATTTTAGGCCTTTTAAAAAAACTCTTTCCCCCTGAGAAGAAATAAACAACCTTGAAACAATAAAGCAGGGCTTATGGACAACTGCAGTTAAAGCAGTAACTATGTCTCGTGACAGCACAAAGCTGGAAAGCAGAGGCTGCAATCAGAAAGCCTACTTCAGTTTCCAGATTCCAAGGGAAAAATTAGGAAATAAAAAGCACACTTTTACCTCAAGATTTGAAAGCCCCCCAGACTGTGACCACTTTAACTACACATTATTACAATGACATAACTCCATTACTGCTTCGGTGACAGGAAACAGCATTTTCTCCCTCCACCCAGGCAGGGCTATTCCCTCCTCCCTGTCTGGCGCTTACCGGGCATAGGAGTAGTCCAAGCTGGCCTGATCAATGCGGTTCCGCAGGATGCCAATGTCAGCAGATACCATGTCATCCAGAGCTTGTAACTCCTTCTGAATCCTTTTTAGTTTCACTGTTTCAGCTTGAGTTCTTTTGGATCTGCAAAAGGAAGATGCTCTTTTTTTTTTCTTTCTTCTTTTCAAGCCTCTCTTCTTGACATAATGGGTCTCATTTCATTTGCAGAGCAACTAATGTCTTTAAGAGCTATTCAGAAGGTTTCTGCTTTATGGTTTAAGACTTTTGATCTCTTTTAATATCCACAGGGATCTAAAATGCCTGCTATTAAAGGACTACAGCAAAATTACGTAATGACTATAATCAAAGTGCCTAAAATGGATTGTGTTTCTTCACTGTGGAAACACACAAGAAGCTGCTGTATCTAAGTAGTTCTCAGTGTAAGGAAACAGGAAATGGCTGGGGGGGGGGGAGAATGAGGGGGAAGGGTATTTAGCCCTGCAAATATCCCCTTTCAAAGAAGCCCAGTTAGTAGGGGCCAAAAAGTCACCTAACCTAAGCTTGATTTCCATTTTGTAAAATTATTCCCAACAGGCCTAGCCAAATCCCCATGAAGTCAATGGAAAGTTTTACATCAAACACAAAGGATTTCAATCAAGCCTTATGTAACCTTTTTCAACTCAGCCTATTCATTCCTAAGTTCTGAAAACTAAATGTTGCTCAGGGCAGCAAGCTTTGATGGATTTCATTCTCAAGCTAAGTAACTTTCAACAAGCTCTTACACCAGGTCACTTTGCTGTCATTCATCAGCACCAGCAAACCCATGTGTTTCAGACGCTGCTTTACACCCCAAAGCGGGTATTTGAAAGCAAGACTAGATTTGTAGGAAGCGACACCATCTCTCCTTAGACCAGCTGATGCAGGTGGAGAGCAGCAGACATCCTGTAGTATTGCTTAGAGCCTGAAGAAGGCTTTTGAATGTCAGCCATAACTCCCCAGTTATCACCTTCCAAGTCCTCCTCTCTCTCATGCTCTGCCTGAGGAAGAACCCAGCCTGGTGGTCACACCCACGTTCGCTGTCCTACAGTGACTCAGAGCAAATGTACTTGTGTTTTACCTTTGCCTGGCGAAGGAAAACAAAATCTTCAGAACCTTAGAGAGAATCTTCTGCACAGCACTGGCTATGTTCACCTGTGCTACCCAAGAGCTTTGATGGGCAGAACATAATAGATGTCTGGGAGAGCACTGTGACCCTGAAAGCTTTGCATCGCCTTTCTTGACCCAGTATTACCAGCTGGTCCAACATCCTTCCCTGCAAACTTTGCTTTCACTCTAAACTATTTTGGTGGACAACACTGTACAATACCTTAAAGTCTGGTCACCTGAAGAGCAAGAGCTAACAACTGTGAGAACATGTGAATTTTTATCATTTCTAATCAGACAGTGGTAAAACGGTCCCTTCTTAAAGCTTAACTCTTTTCAATGCCTTTCACATAATAATAAGAAAGAGTCAAAAGTTCAAACAGAAATAGCTATAGTTTCCCTTCATAGGTTAGGAATCAAATAAACTTTCCTTAAATCCAGTGAAAACAAATCAGGAACAGAACATCGATGAGTATCTGAGCATCCCAACATGCCCTCACCAACAGGCACAAGGACTTCAGCTAATTCTTGAATTGTGTAATAACTTTTCCATCTGTGCACAGAGCTGCAGCTTCGGAAGTGTGAAAAGCTCAGGCACAACTTGTCATCAAAGGGAAATGTCAATCACAGTTGCTCACTTGTGGAGCAGTATACAGAGAGCACACAGAGGAGGAAAAAATGAGATTGAAATAAAAGATAGGCAACTGGTTGCAGATGAAGAGTAATCCTTTCCTCAGCCTCAGCCCATGCTGCAGCAGAGCCCCTTACCTCTCAGCAATAGCTTTGGCCAGGAGTGCTTTCTTGCGCTTATTCTTCTCTTCTATCAGACGCTGCTCTTGCTGGAGGATTTCCCATCGTGATTTTTCTTGCCTGCTCATTGACAAGAAGATCAAAATTAACAGAAATTTCATTTCTCTCCCTGTTCCCCAAATGATACAAATATTCACCATCATATTTCCTGGAGCAAACTCTAAAAATGTCAAAGGAACAATAAACAGATTTTGGTTTTGAGCAAAGAAGAATCATCTGCAAGAAGTAATTTTGACCAATAACACATTTCCAGATGGAATCTGCTGATCAGAACAGAAATCTTCATAAGCAAATAAGCTGCTGGTTAATTCAGCTTTGCTGGAAGAAAGAGCATACTGCGTTTTTTTTCAGAAATGAGTGGAATTTTTCATTTAAAGGACGTGCTTCCCCACTAGGCAGAAGCAGTTTCAGGTTTCTTACTGGCTGCTAGAAGTTGCTATCTGTTCAGTCTGCCAACACAGCCTGTTTTCTGGAAATGTTTCTTCTATAAAATAGATCCTTTCAGAGGTCTGCTTTACAGTACAGCCACCAAATAATTAAACTGATACAAATGACGAGCTGGTAAAAGTTACATCAAAAATAAGCAACGAGGAAGAACAAGAATTCCCTTTCGCCACCAAGGAAATAGTCCACTTCCTAGGCTACATCTACCAAGAGGTACAACCAGACCCAGAGGGTGGAAGGCAAGGTCTCAGGTGAGAGGTGACAACCTGCGTCAATACAACAGGGCAGGATTAAGGAGAAACAAAAACTGCTTGGCCGCTTTCCACCCTGCTTTGTTCTTCATGCTCTCTCTTAAAAATAGCTTAGCTTAAAAATACCCGAGCAACTCAGCTGCTACAATCTTAGCAACCAGTGCTGCACAAGAAAACCTCTTCAGACTTCTCCTCATTGCCCTATTCCTAAAACCTCATATAGAGAAATATTTTTAATAAGATTTAAATTCAAGTGCCCAGGCTGAGATGAATTCAGCAGATGGGGGGCGGAGGGGGGCCGGTCCCATGACTCCCAGAGAGCCATGTCCAGTCCTTTTTCCTTTCTCTCACATGTACCAGTCTGATGCTTCAGAGAGAGACAGGCACCCCACTGTGGGCTGATGCACAAGGTGAGAGCCCTGAGATTGGCCTCATCTTGAATCACAAAAGCTAGAAAACTGCTTAAACCTGAAATTTTACCTCCTTACCAACACTTTTGGCATTAACAAATCTGCAGCAATATTGTGATGGGAACACAAAGTTACAGAAATCACGGCATATCTGCTTCCAAAAGGGCTTTTTGTTGTGGCTGCTGGCTTGTCTACACAGCATGGCATAGGTAAGATTAAGTCTCCATAAACCATTAAGACAGTCCCACGTCTTAGGCACTTTATGATGTACAGTCCCACCACCACAGGAAATTATTTGAAGACAGCACTCTGCGTATCTGCATGGATTACACTACAGAATTTGGTCTTCAATCAGGTTTAACCCAAGTAGAGATGAAAAACAAAGGCTCAATGCAGAGGAAGCAAAACTGATATCTCAAACCTTCCTATTAGATATGGGAAAATTCACTTTACTGCACAACAAAAGAATGAGTCAATACAGAATAAAACCCATCCCGTAATTTTACTGACTTACTAACAGTTCCACTTTCTTTTTCTCCACCTTGGAGTTCGGCATCGCAGGGCGAGTCTGCGCATTGTCACTGCCATTACAAGGATCTACGGATGTCACTTCCTTGTGCTGGTCTCGGTTATCACCTTGCCTTTTTTTTTTTATGAGGTGGTGGCACAGGCTGCTGAGGATGGCAAGGCTTGTGTTTTGGTGCAGAAAGCAACTGCTCAGGAGGAACAGAGGCTGCTCCACCCTGCAGCCCCAGCTTCTGACATTGCTGCTGGAAGGCTTTTTCTCTTTGCGTTTGCTTCCGACTCTTATTCACAGTGTGGGGGTGATGCTGCTGCTCCGAGGGTTCATACAAATCTATCAATGGATGAGGAGAAACAGGATTAAAACCAAATCTTGAAATCAGAGACAGACTCTTTCTGGGCAAGAAAACAAACTGGCACAAACCCAACCTATGGAACAGACATGCCTGGGAAGGCAATGTGGGGGAAAACCCAGGAACCTGGAAATGTTTTGTTAGCCTAAGAATCAGGAGTTATAGATGATCTGAACATCTGAAATGAGGAGAGAGAGGAATAAGGGGCCTGGACTGAGGGACTAAAGGAGGAACCTTAGGGAGGACTGGAGGCAACCCTTGAGGGAATCACAGAGAGGAAGACGTAGGGCTTAAGAAGGGTCCCAAGCAGTCAGATGGGCAAACTGGGGGTTTCTAAAGTGAAGAATGGGGGAAGAACAAGGTGACAGATGGGCAAAGAGGAGGCTGGGTACATGAGTGGGGTAATGGATAGGTGTGGGTACAGGACAAGGGGCTGGAGAGCTTGGAAATGTGACACAGAGAGGTTACAGTGGAGAGAGAGAGAGGGGCTGGGTGGGAGATTGGGGCAAACACTGAG